GTCCATACAAAAAATAGGGTTGTCCATGTTTCAGAATTTGTTGTGGGTGTATGAGTGTGAGATTTCCCAGCCTGAAATGTTTTTCCCAGTCCACCCCTCGTGGAAATTAATGGCGCAGATATGTGGTTTCATTTACTACACATAGGCCTACTGAAGCTCGCGTTGTTTTCAGCCTCTGACATTTTAAATAGGGTAACTTGTAATCTGTAACCTATTACATTTCCAAAGTAACCTTCCCAACACTGCACATGTGTCCACAGGCTATTCATCGACACAGGATGAACCTCACTGGAGATGACAAGTTACAAATACTTGGAGCTACGGAAGTGGTCATTTGAGGTATCATTATCAACGATTAAGACCTAAAACCTGAGTATATTTGTGTTGTGTGATGCCATCTGCTGGTGACCTACTGTACACCCATTCGCGGGCCAGTTGTAGAAATCATCCAGTGTTATTCTGTCAGAATTTCTATTTTCTCAGACAGTTTGAAAGTCAAGACTCCAGTTCCCGTGGCAGGCAATAAATCCACACCTCAACACTTTTACTCCAACCATAAACCCCGACCTACCCACCGCGGCTCTAAGGGTGAAAGGTCACTCCATCAATAAAGTCTGTCATGGACACATGCTTTGTGGCTCCCTCTTAATTATGGTTTTGGGGTATGGTTTGAAGTTATCAAGATTTGGGTGTTGACGAGACTGAAAATATATTCTCATCAGGCGTTAATTAAGTGTGGATATTTTAAATGTAGGATAGCACCTTATTTAAGCCATAACCACTGAACTTCCAGGTTTAATTCCTGATAGGAATGGCACATAGATTATACATTCGGTCAGCATAACTAGCTCAAATTCATCTGTTTTCCTAAATGTTCCTAAATAGACAAAGACTGCTGGAGCAGTTTCTACTCTAAATAAAGGTGCCATAATTGTTTAATACATATGTGTACTTGGCTTGAAATGAAAATGTATGTGCTTGAAAGCAATTGATTCAAAACTATTGCCTTCTCACACATGGAGATTAAAATGACCTGTCTCCCTAACGGAGGTAAGATATAAATCAGAATTTAAGCTTATATTTCAACATCTTCATGTATCTTCACTCCATGTTCACTCCAAAAGGCATATAAGATCCTACGCTTCATGAATGCAGGCAGAATGAGGTACTGAGTAAAAGATGAATCTGTCCCTTGTGTCTGAAGATCAGAGGTGTGGATTCTCAAATCCTATCGTGAAATTCCAGGGGTGGTGGTGAAAGCAAAGGTCGAAAAGTGGGAAGCCATGGAATGTTACTTGGGAAAGGAAAACCTGGAGAGCCTTCAGTTTAAACCAAAGCATGGGCCTCCTTCCCGCTCTTGGAATCATTCTCCTCCTACGTGTGTGTGCATGTACGTGTGCGTGTGTGTGTGCGTGTGTGTGTGTGAATATGTGTAAGCGCATGCGTGCATGCATCTGTTTTACATAACTGAACCTTTCTGTGAGAACACAATCTTTATAAATGTTTAAACCCTAAAAGCAAGAGAGGAAAACACATTTATTATTTTTCGACTCAGTATAATACTTGGCAGAAGAAAATAAGCTTCAGAGACAAATATAAATATATAGTCAAAGGAAAGCTGTTGAAGCTAACCCAAGAGGGCCATCATAAGCATCTGTCTGTGACAAGCCTGGTTGTTTGACCCCGTGACTCTTCTCAAAAGGATAATGGGAACATTGCATGTTGAGGTCCCATTATAAATAAATGTCTTCAGCGGTGAACAGAAGCAAATAATTTTCACAAATATGTTCCACAACCACAGTAAGGCACGCTTAATATCCTTGCCAAAAATAACACTCAAACTACAAAGAAAAAACAAACAACTAGTGACTAAAGTGTTCAGTATCGCACATTATCTCAAAGGATAAGAGAATTGTGTGCATTGCTAAGCTCAAATGGTACCAGGTTTACAATACTCCAATCTTGTTATAAAAGCTGAGTCATTTATCATTATTTTTTAAAATTTTATAATTTTAGATTGTCACAAAAATAAACATGGTAATTAGACAAATCATAATGATTTGATTCACTCTGATTTAGTAGAAACACACAGCATGTGCACCCTCCATGAAACAGCCTAACCATGTCCTAAAACACTTTCTGAGTGAAAATTAGAAATTAGAAATGATGCACTATAGTACGCCAATATCATAATATATAAAATTATGTATTTACAATTCAATATGGACATAAAACATTTTTTTATATATATTTCAAATACATAATTCCTCACAGTTCTTCTTTTTTTCTCTCAAACAGCATACAGTAATTACCCATATTATGTCTATTAAACCTTTGCTAGACCTTTACACAACCTGGAAAACCAAAGGAACATAATTGTATGAAACAAGGTTGTTGTTTTTTTAATTGCCTTTTGAATAGTCACAGTGGTCACGAAGTCATGACCAAACTTATATTACTGTCATATATGTTGTTTTGGTATCTCTGCCCAGGTAATTGAAGGCTATACACTTGTATGTACCAGAATGCACTCCTGTGGGGTTTCGTATTATAAGAGTCCCTTGTGTGTGGAGAAGCTCACTGCCTACAGGTCGTTCCTTTCCAGTTGTAGAAAGAATAGATCGATCTGGTAGCTCCCAGGTTATCTCTGGTGTAGGTATTCCATTAGCAACACAATTAAGATAAACGGTAACTCCAGCCACTCCTCTTACAGTTGGTGGTGGCCCATTAGTGATCCGGGGTGGATATGCAACAATTACGACAGGCACAGAAAGAATCGCCTCACCAGCATCATTCTTTGCTCGGCACACATAATTCCCACGATCATGTATGATCGTCTCATGTACAACAAGTGTCCCATTGTCCATCATATGGTAACGTCCACTCGCCTGTGGACGTGCAAGAACAAAACCTCCTGGCGTGGTCCAAGAAATGCTGGGCTGGATTCCATCTGTCAAGCAATGCAGGAAGAGGGACTGTCCAGAAATCCCCTGAATTATCCCCTTTGGCCGTGTTAGAATATAAGGCTTTTGAATCAACTCAAAAACGACCAGCTTCTCAATATAGCCCACTTTGTTCTTTGCAGCACAACGGTATTTACCAGTGTCCTCTATGCTGGAGTTATAAATAACAAATGTGCCATCGGTACCCAGGTGATATCTTGAGCCCTCGAACCCAGGTGTTCCAATGAACCGAGTTCGATTGGGGAGTGTCCATATGATCTCAGGCATGGGTTGCCCATCAGCAGAACAGTTTAACACTGCAGTTCTCCCTACCCGAGTCACCACTCTCTCATTAAAAGGGTTGTTAAAAATAGGCCTCCTGAGCTTGTCGGTCACTTCTAGTTGAACCAACATAACCGCCTCACCTCCATCATTCTGAGCCATACAAATAAATTCTGCTGAATCTGATGGCCTAACATTACGGATTTCTAGCGTACCATTGCTATGGACATTAATCCTGCTCCCGTAATAGGGAGCAGTAAGAAATATATTGTCAGGCATGATCCATGTGATCTTTGGTACTGGATACCCTTCAGCTTTACAGTCTATTAGCTTTCTAGTATATTTGACTGCTGTATCTTTCATCACAGTTCTATTTTGATTGAAGCCATTGATGATGGGTGGGTTTCCATCAATGTCTAGTTTATATACTTTATTCTCCTCACCTGCAGCATTAAGAGCCATGCAGACATACTCCCCAGCATCAGCTAATTTAACATTTCGTACATCAAGGGAACCGTTAGCATGCACTAAGTAACGCTCATTAGATGCAGCAATCATGTCTTTGGACGGAAGCATCCAAAAGACCTTTGGCTTGGGCTCACCTATAGCCTTACAGTCAAAGCGAACGTTTCCACCTTGCTTCACTTTGGCATAGGAGAGATTTGGGCGCTGAATGCGAGGCACTGCAGTTACCACACTTATGTGGACATGCATCTTGTCCTTACCCAGTTTGTTTTCAGCATAACAGGTGTAATCACCTTCCTCGTCAGAACCCACTTTATTCAGGTACAGTGTTCCATTATTAAACAAGGTGTACCGTTTGAACTGATCGCCTTCTGTTCCATCTGCTTGCAGGGCGCTATTAACCAAGGTACCATCAGGAAGTCCCCAAGATATCTCTGGCATGGGGACACCAGCAGCCACACAGTCCACTTTTAGGTCATTGCCATAAGGCACTTGCTTCCTGCTAAAGACATTTGGTTCAATCCGAGCTGGTTTCATAGACACTGACACTCTTAATAGCTGTACATCATCCCCAACTTTGTTGCGTGCAACACAGAGGAAGTCCCCAGCATCTTTTTCATTGACTGATTCAATGATGAGGGTACCATTTTCCAAGACTTTGATACGGCTGCCCATTCTGAAATGAGAATGTGATATTTTTAACAATAAGTGGCAAATGATGTAAAATTAATGCATGTTTACAAACTAAATTCTAACTGTTCACTGTTGGTTTGAGAACATTTGCAAAATTGTCGATGTAGGATAAGCATTTATCTGCTCGTGTTTAATGCTTCTGCCCTAATTGAGATTCACTCAAATTGTTCATTCCAGGCTTAAATCGATTAGGGGAAAAATAAAACCAGGGAAATTTCAAATTGGTCTGGAAAACCCATAAAAATATATATATATTTTTTAAAAATCTGTAATTATTATTATTTTTAATTAGTTATGTTCAGTTCTAAAACGTCTCATCAACAAGACGTTTA